GAATGACATTTTGACACACTACAACATGGATGACCCTTGAGGATACTATGCCAAGTGAAATAAGCCAGTTTAAAAGGACAAATATTGTATGATTCTACTTCTGTGAGATACCTAGAGTACTCCCAATTCATAAGAGTAGAATGGTGGTTGCCAAGAGCTATGGGAAGAGGAAGTGGAGAGTTAGTGTTGAATACATACAGAATTTCAGTTTGGAAAGATGCAAAAGCTCCAGAGGTAGATAGTAGTGATTGTTTCATACTGTGAATGTACTTCATGGTAATGAACTGTACACTTAAAAATGGTTAAATGGGCTTTTTTGGTTATGTACAGTTTATCATAATAAAAAATAAGTAACTCATTCTCTTTCTCCCCCCCCTCCCCCCAAAATGAATAGAGGTAATAGAGGTACCAAAGTTCCAAACATAGAATCTCTCCTTACTCTGTAGAAATTATATAGAGTTATTGATCTCCTCAGTCCTCAGGGGTCCGGGGTGAAGGATGGGGTGGCCAGAACCTCCAACTATTTGTCTAAGGCTCTCATTGTATGAACAAGTTGAGAAGTACTGTTCTAGCTTATTTTCATTAGTATTGGTTTAATGAGAACTGTCCAACCATTGACTGTGTCTAAAGAAAATATATTAAGATGGTAAACTTTGTGAAGTATGTTATGTAAGACTGTTAGCATGGGCCTGAGGATTTTAGATGTTATTAAATGTCATCAACAATTCTGATTTTATTATGTGTTTTAGAATGGATATTTCCATTTTATGCAAATAAGAACTAGTTTGGCTACTAGCTTTTTGGAAAGTATGCATACACTCAAATTATATACCATTGTAAATATCTGCTATTAAATTAACTATGAAAGAGTCTAACAGATCAGAATAAATTATTTTAAAGCGTTTATATATGTAATAAAATGGGGAATAATATAAACACCTACCTAAAATGATGAAAAGTATCATGGCTCATCACCTACTTTATGACCTTGAGCAAGTGACTTACCTGTACCTCTTCTTCTCCATCTGTACAGGAGAGATAATAATTGTTCCCAGAAAGGTGCTCAAAGGATTTTAAATGAGTTAATACCTATTAAGCTCTTCAAATTGCCTCAACACCTAGGAAGGACTCTTAAAAATGTTAGCAGTTGTAGTTATTATCACTGTATACTTTGTACTCCAAAACATTAAAATTCTGTTTTCAGAATGATTATTTTGCTAGTCATCTATATTTGAGTACCTTCTTGCATTGTTTTAATGTCATACCCTTTATCAAAGGAATCGAAAAAAATTCTGCATCTTCTGTAAAATTTCTGTTGAAGATATTCATTACATTTGTTTATTTTATTATTTTTTATAGTATATATTTTACTGTAGGTCATATAAAAGTATTAACAAAAGATAAATGTGTTTGCCCGCTATATTTAGAGCATCTACAGAGTGCTGTATTGCTAGTAAAATAGTCCTATTCCTATGAGTAGCTTGCAGTTTATTTAATAATTTATTAATATATTTTTTAATTCCTTCTAGCATTTGAAACAACAACAGGAAGGCCTTAGCCACTTGATTAGCATCATAAAAGATGATCTAGAAGATATAAAGTTGGTAGAACATGGATTGAATGAAACCATCCACATCAGAGGTGGTGTATTTAGTTGACAGGTCACAAACTTGTGTTAAAGGTTTGTGAACTCTTATCTTCTTGCTACATTAGGCCTTCCCTAAGGATGAAACTGACCACATGGAGAAAAAAAGAAAGAAAATCCTCTCCTGGCTTGCTTTTTGAGAAGATTACTGACAAATTATTGTTCTTCAGATTTGAAATGTTACTTCACAGCTCTCCAGAGACAGCCTTTGGAAGATGTGTATCTTAAAAGCTGTTATTTACTTTGAGAAGTACATAATTACCAAAAATATGTACTATTGTACATTTTTACAACAGCATTTTTCCTAAAAATAATCAGTGTCTAATGATTATCCTCCATTGAGCCTGTACTCTGCTTTCCATAGCAAGTAAATATGCAATATCTACTTTGCACATAAAATGTATGACTACTTGGCTGTTGGAGATTTGTACTTCAGAATATAAATGTACATCAGTTTTTTATATTTGTGAATTTATCTGTGGGAGGAGTAAAGAAAATCCAAGAGTATTTAATGATTAATGTGGTTTTCTTTTCATTCTATAAAGATTTGAAAATATATTTTTATATTATTTTACTTATTTGAAATTTACAGAACACACCTAAGCAATTAGGGTATCAACAAAATTACATTTTATCATTTTTGCAACTTTTTTTTTAAACCTTTTTATTTCTAAAAAAGATGAAAACAAATAAATTCTTGATTGTAATTGCTTTTATATAATTCTGTCTGGTGCTTTATTTGGCTCTGGGAGAATGACCATTCATGTCTATCACAACTCAAGAATTTTAAGTCCATTTTTCAAAGCATGATTTTTCTCTCCTACAAAAAATATATCAATGCTGTTTATTTGACTTGGCAAATAAAATTTTCAATATTTACGATAGAGAATTTCCTAATATATCATTAGTATCTAAAAATACTAGAAAATCTGAATTAGATATCAGAATGTGAAATAGTCTTTCAAACTAGATAATTTTAAACAATTTTTCTTACTACAGATTGCATACCTGGGCTGCATCATGTTGGCCCCCTCTTGGAAATGCTTTAATTTTGCATTTGTGTGTGATGCTTTGGCATGAATCTTGCCACTGTTTACTATGGGGACAGTGAGGAATGTGCAGCACTGTATACCCCGAGGTCATCTTTAGAGATCCCACTGAAGGAATTTCTGTCCAGCTGCAGATTACGTAACAGGTGTGTAGGAGACTAGGAACTTTAAAACTGTTTTATTTCCAAGTTAGCTGCTAGTAGTCTGCAGCTACTTCTGCCAAGATTATGGCATGCAAACTTGTTATACTACCCTGTATACCACTGCCTTTCATCCTACTTTCCTACTCATTGTTACAATTCCAACAGTGATGGGAGATAGTTCCTTTTCTCCTTGGACCAGAAGATAGGCACTTCCACCCTTCTCATCCACGGAGCTGACTGTGGAAGGTATCTGTCCCTCTGCATATCCTTTTACTGTAGGAAGAGTTGTTCTAATTGATGAGAACTGCTGTTACTCACTGAGCCCCATTCCATGAAAAAGAAAAACAAATTACTTTATGCACACAATGCTCACTTCTCCAGCCTTTCATTTTTCGTGTTCTGATATTGTCAGGTTCCTAATTTCACAAGATAAGTACCCCTAAATAGGGCCTAGGGTCTGCCTTAAAGACATGCCCAGTGGGCCTTTTTAAAAGTTTTGTTCCTGCTGGTAACTTACCGCATGTGTAAGGCTGACCTGTGTGGTCCTTGCATTGTTGGTTAAATATGACAATCAGTACTACAGGTGTGTTCCAAGCAAGTGCTAACCAATTTCTAGATTTGAATGAGTAGGAGGAGATAAGACCCACTTTGGCCTCAGCACAAAGTTGTGTTCTCCAGCGCAGTTTACAGAGAAGTTTTATGTTTAGTCTTTAACTGGCTAATGGTTCTTGTGGATAGTCTACTAAAAATTCTGGCCCTGGCTGATTTTGCTCAGCAGTTAGAGCATTGACCTGCGGTCCAGAGAGACCTGGTTCAGTTCCCGCTAGGGGCACATACCTTGGTTGCAGTTTGTCCCCGGCCCTGGTTGGGTTGTGTAGATGGTGGCTGCTCGATGTGTCCCTTTCTTTTTTTTTTTTTTTTTATCCTCACCCGAGGACATTTTTGTTCAGATAGAGTGGGAGGGAGAGACAGGAAGAGAGAGAGAGAAACATCGATGTGAAGGGACACATCGAGTGGCTGCCACCCGCATGACCAACCAGGGCCAGGGACAAACTGCAACCGAGGTACGTGCCCTTAGCGGGAACCGAACCTGGGTCTCTCGGGACCGCAGGCCGACGCTCTAACCGCTGAGCCAAAGCGGCCAGGGCTCGATGTGTCCCTTTCACGTCGATGTTTCTCTCTCTCCCTCCTACTCTATCTGAACAAAAAATGGAAGGATGTCCTCAGGTGTGAATAAAAAACAAATTCTGAACAGGAAGAGAGTTAAATGGTAGAATTAGAGCACATTGAATCCCTAACAGTATAAACTTTATCGAGTGTTCTGTATCTTTGAAAGTGGCCTTAAATTCTTTTTGAAACATTGGCGAAGTGTAAACAATTGTCAATTACCAAAGCCCTGTGCCTAAATCAGTCTCTAGTTAACCACAATATCCTGGGGAAAATCTTCCCTTGCTTATTTAGCATACATATAGAGTACTGTCTACCTTCCTGGATTAACATGAGATTCAAGTTAGTAACTATGTATGTGAAAAACTTAGTAAACTGTTTACAGAAATAGAAGGTGCTCATATTTTGAGGGATGATACTATTTGAAGTCAAAGTCTGATTCTTCAAAGATGAGTAGAACATATTTAAAATTCAGTTGTGCAACAGCATGATGGACCTAAAGGGTATTATGCTAAGTGAAATAAGTCAGAGAAAGACATACCATATGGTTTCACTTATATGTGGAGTCTAAAGAACAAAATAGAAACAGACTTAGATACAGAGAACAGACTGATAGATACCAGAGGGAAGGGGGGTTAGGGGGGATGAGTAAAAAGGTGATGGGATTAAGAACTGCTAATTCTTATGTGCAGAATAGTCACAGGGATGTAAATTACAGTTTAGGGAATATAGTCAATATTAACTATGTAAGGGGCCAGGTAGATACTTGAATATAGAGGGGACAACTTTTTAAAGTATACAAATGTCTAACCACTGTGTTGTACACCTGAAACTAATACACAAATATTAAATGTAAACTAATTGAAAAAGAAGAAAAAATCTCCCTCCCCCCAAAAATTCTAATTCAGGAATCAAATTCATGTAAACCACTAACATTGGATATTTTAGTATTGGCAATTCTACTGAAATTATATCTAATAATCTTAAAGTCTTTTATTGAATTCAATCAGAAATATAGGTTTTTTACAATCATGAGATTAATATACAAATAAATGAAAATGATTCTACGACATAACTGGACAAACTCTGAATTTTCAAAGGGAATAACATAAGCCGTTGTCATTTTATCAACTGACTTTGGCCAACAAGTGAAGAATATAACATTCATTTCCTGTGGGATCCCTGTGTTGTATTTCAAATAATAAAGACTGTATCAGACTACAAAGTAATGAAGAGATACAGCAGAAGCACTGATCAGAATGATGAATGTCCCAAACAATGGAAGGAGCATTTTGCCAGAGGATGCAGAGGGATGGGTTTTGGGAACTGGACCTGGACCTGGAGCTGGAGCTGGAGCTGTTAATGAAAACAAAAAGTCATTGGCACATTCAAGTTGAGTTAGAAACTAACCTGAAGTACTTCCGACCAGGAACAATTTTCAAATAAATATCACTCATTACAGATTTCAAACTATATTTTTATATACAGGGTGGGGCAAAAGTAGGTTTACAACTGTACATATGTAATAATACAAGAACTTGTATACTCACAACTGTAAACCTACTTTTGCCCCACCCTGTATATCACTCAAATTCCACAAGCCTTTTAATATCTATGTAGACAAGATAATTTTTTGTTCAAGTTCTCTAGAATTAACAATTTTCTATTTTCATTTTTTGCATATATAGGCAAGGTAGGGTCAATATTGTGTCTTCTGTTTCAAGTAAAGTATATTTCATATGCATATACTCACATCTGCCAATATACAATTGAATGTAGCTGCATTTTTAAATACTAAGCCCTGCAGGCTTATTTTAAAAAATAAAATTTTTTCCCTCATGCATAGTTTTCTGCTTTGGAGAAAACTGCTTCCCTTTCATCTGAACTAGTTAGTGGAGAGGATCCATCTCAGGATCTGTTTGACACTACCCTTAACTCAGATACCTGACTTCCAGCTGGGTTTTGGCTTAGACTGTACAAGGGAGGATTGATTGGAAGTATCCAAATGAGATCACCACTCAGATTTCATAAGTGAAGCCAAGAGAAATAGCCAGTAAATTTTATAAAAGCCTTCAACTCATTTTGTCAATTTACTTGCCATAATTACAAACATGCAGTTACATGTATACAGATAGGGAAGTGGGCAGGCAGATATACTCATGCATTAGTTTGTTACGATGGAGCAGTGTGGTTCTCAAGGGGGCAGCACTGCCCTCTAAGAGACAGTTGGAAATTTGTCAGGGTAGTTTTTGATTGTCACAAGGGTAGGGTGGAAGTAGAAGGCTAGTTTTGCACCATGGAAAACTGACCCATTTCCACACAAATTTCAAACGCACTGCTAGACATACACATAAGTTAAAAACCTATTTGTAATGCATAACCCAGAACTTAAGTCAGTTTTATATATAAACAAAATACTTTTAGATTAGTTTTTTTTTTTTTTTTTTTTTTTATATCCTCACCCGAGGACATTTTTCCATTTTTTGTACAGATAGAGTGGGAGGGAGCGAGAGGAAGGGAGAGAGAGAGAGAAACATCGATGTGAAGGGACACATCGAGTGGCTGCCACCCGCACGACCAACCAGGGCCGGGGACAAACTGCAACCGAAGTACGTGCCCTTAGCGGGAACCGAACCCGGGTCTCTGCGGACCGCAGGCTGACGCTCTAACCGCTGAGCCAAACTGGCCAGGGCTTAGATTAGTTTTAATGAACAGTTTCTATCTGGTAGCCACTGTATTTCTTCACTTTCATTTTCTTATCCTCACATAGAGTAGCTTCAGTCTTCTCTTCAATCTAAATATATTTGCATAAGCAAATACAATAATATGTCTACTATATTATGTCTTCTAGTATAACCTATGCATTTACATATTAAATGTATATAACTTATAATTTATAGTTAGGATATTATATTTTTTATGGGTGCACATAGGTCTCTATGAATCTTATTTCAGGATAGTATAAGGGCTTTATAAAATATTTGTCATAAAAAGGGAGAATTGGGTTGATAGGGTTGAGAACTGCTCTAAACAGTAGTCTACATACAGTAGAAAATGCTCAAGAATCATCAAGTTGCCCCCACCATATATACACACATAAACATTTGGATATGACATTATATCCTGTCATGATGCCTTATTCTTAAAACTTTCTTAAAGAAAAAATAAATTTCTCACTTTTCCTTTATTGCAGATTAAACATTTATCAGCTAAGGAAATGAGACATTTCTTACTAGGATTGTAGATATCTTCTTGACTTTTATATTCTAAAATATGAACAGGTTTTGAGTTAACTGCATTGTACACCTAATAATCTAGAAGAGAAAAATCTGATTAAATGATGGATCAAACTTGGTTATTTCTGGGAGTGGGCCTGAGGGTCAGGATATTAGGTTTAGAGTTATGTGTGAGATTGGGGGAAGGAATTAATTGTTAACTCATTTGCACTTAGATTTTTTTTTTTTTACCAAGGAAGTGTTTCCATTAAAAGAATAATGAAAATTTGTATTACAAAAAAGTATTTTTACATATTCAATTTAGATTCCCAAATATATTAATACCTACCAATTATTGGGTGCTTACTATGTGTCCCTCATTGTACAAATGCTTTATGTACATTGTCACCTTTATTTCTTACAGTCCTAGAAGGTAGGGCTAGTTATCCATATTATACAGATGTTCCTCAAAACTTAAATAAAATCAGAGTTAATCAGTGAGTGGTAGCAATGTCTGATTTCAAAGCCTCTGACCTATTTACTATGCTATACTACTTCCAAGTGTGTGCCTAGCATTGAAAAATTACTATTGCCATATTTTGACGGGCTTGAAGCCAAATGCCAATTCTAGGAGCCCAGGATGGAGGAGTATTTTTTACAACTAAATCTGGGTGAAAGACAAATGTTGTGTGACAGAAAGCGAACAAAAGTTGAAAAGTTTGAGTCCTGGTTGTCTCTTTCTAGCCTTTTGCAGGTTCCTTAACCTTCCTATATTCCATGTCCTCATCTCTGAAATGGCAAAAACAGTATTTATCTTGGATTAAATGAAACTGTAAATGTTTTCACACAAAAAAAGCATGCACTACACACAGCTTTCCAGGAGAGGGCACAATACAAAACAGGCTCTGCAAACCAATTTGGTGGAGGACATGGAGTGTAGTGAGAAGCACGGCATGGCTGGCCCCATGCTATACCGTTCTCATACACATCTCTTTGGAGAAGCTATTCCTGTGACTATATAGATTCCCTCACAGTAGCCAGCTTACCCTGGGAAGCCTCCTGCCTGTTCTGGAATACACAGGTGCAGCTGGAAGCCAAATGTTTCAGTTTAGGTCAAGCACCTTTTCATCTGCTTGGCCCAGAGAACCATAATAGCAGATCACATCGAAAGTTCTCCAATTTTCCCTCTCCAGCTTGAGACTAGCATGTCAGAAGCTATCCAGCTAGGTATCCTCCCCAGACTCCTTAAGATTAAACTAAATGAATGACTATGGTAAAGAACTCAGAACCCCATGATGCCTCCACCCCCAATAAAAATTTTATTACCAGGTTTTTCATCCGGTTGTGCCACTTTTATTCCTAAATGAGAAAAGATGTTCAGATGATAATGAAGACAGCTACCATTTACTACTATTTTAAACTACTTTTCATTTGTCAGTACTTCATTTCATTAGAACTTTAATCAGTCCTGTGAAACAGAAGTGTTCTTCATTTTATAAATGTGACAGAAGAGGTACAGAAAAGTGAAGTAACTTAAAGTTACCAAGAAGAGACTTCCAGTCAAGATGGCCACGTAGGTAAACATGGTGTCTCCTCCCACAGCCACATCAAAATTACGGCTAAACTGCAGAACAACCATCATTGAGAACTGCCTGAAAGCTGGCCGAATGTTAGTTCTGCAACTAGGGAATTAAAGCAGCAGCCACACTGAGACTGCTAGGATGGGTAGAGATGCAGAACGGGCTGGTCTCACACTCACGTGTGGTGAATAAAATCTAGGAGGGATATCTGGGCTGTGGAGGTTCCCCTGAGAAGCAAGGGGTCCCAGCCCCACACCAAGCCCCCCAGCCCAGGGTTCCAGAGCCGGGAAGAGAGGTCCCCATATCTTCTGGTAAAAGCCAGCAGGAATTATGGCTGACTGAGAAGGGAATCCCAGGCAGTTCCTCTTAAATGGCCTGAGCACAGACTTACTGACTCACTCCCTCTGAGCTCCAGTGTTGAGGTAGCAGCTTGAAAGGAACCTGGGACATATGGGCAGGAACTGAATTGTCTGGCATCAAGGTAAGAACTGAGGGGGTCGCTTTCTGCCAGACAAAAGTGCTGGCAGAGGCCATTGCTCCTTTTGTGAGACACACCCCACCCCCACCGAGCTGGCAGGCTGGCAGGCAGGCGCCATGTCCGAGTCTTCATCAACTGGCTCACACTGTTCACCCCACCTTGGTGATTCCCTGAGATCCCCAGCCCACTCAACATGAGGGCCCACCCAAGCCATTTTCAAGTGACTTTTCCACACAACTGGCCTCTCTTGCCTCATGCTTTGGACTTTCCTAAATCTCTCAAACTAGTAGTATCTGGCCTCTGTGTATCCCATACCTCTTGAAAAGTGGCACTAGGCCCAGCATTAGAAGCAGCCAGCTTTGGTTCACAGCTTGGCTTCTCTTAGGCACCTCCAAGCCCAGCACATGTATCAGACATCTGCAGATTGCTCTGTAGCTCATGCCAGGGGGCCCCAGTTAGGGCACAGGCAGTGGCTGACCTTACACCGCCCAGGAGGCCCCAGAGCTGGTGAACCCAGTGGACAGCTTCAGACCATACCAGATTATAACCCTACCACCTTCATGAACAACACACTCAAGGGGAAGAGTTCAAAATGGTTATAAAAATACTCAAGGAACTTAGTGAGAACTTCAAAGAAGTTAGTGAGAACTTCGACAGCATGAAGAAGGACACAGAAACCATAGCACTATTTACAATAGCTATGATCTGGAAACAACCCAAGTGTCCATCAGTAGATGAGTGGATGAAAAAGCTGTGGTACATGAACACAATGGAATACTATGCAGCTGTAAGAAAGAAAGATCTCTCATCCTTTGAGATGGCATGGGAGGACCTGGAGAGTATTATGATAAGCGAAACAAGCCAAGCAGAGAAAGACAAATATCACATGATCTCACTTATTTGTGGAACATAATGAACTAAACAAATTGCTGAACAAAATTAACCCAGAGACATAGAGATGGGGTACAGACTGACAAGTCTCAGAGGAGGGGTGGGGAGATAAACTACAGAACTTTCATGCATGTATGCATGACCAATGAACACAGACAACAAAGCTGGGGATGGGGGGGGGTGTCAATGGAAGAAAAATGAGAAACATCTGTAACAAAAACAAAAACAAAAACAAACAAAAAAAGAACCAGTAAGAAATGAAGGATACATTCACTGAAATGAAGACTAATTTATAGGGGCCCTGGCTGGTTTTGCTCAGCAGTAAGAGTGTCAGCCCATGGACCAAAGAGTCACAAGTTCTATTCCTAATCAAGGGCACGTACCTCATTTGCAAGTTCAGAGGAGATCGGGCGCTTTCAGGGTGGTATGACCCTAGACGTCAGTTGCAAGTTCAATCCCTGACCCTGGTCAGGGTCATGCAGAGGCAACCAATCGATGTCTCTCTCACATAGATGTTTCTCTCCCTCCCTTCCTTTTCTCCCTCCTTCCTACCCTATGTAAAAAAAAAAAAAAAAAAAAAAAAAAAATCAATGGAAAAATATCCTCGGGTGAGGATTAAAAAAGAAGAAGAATGTACAGGGAATCAATCAATAGTAGATGATGCCAAGAATCCAATCAGCAATTTGGGATACAAGGAAGCGAAAACCACTCTATCAGAATAACGAAAGAGAAAAGAATCTAAAAAAGTGAGAAAGTGTAAGGAGCCTCTGAAACAACTCCAAGTGTATCAACATTCGTATCATGGGGTGCCAAAAGGAGGAGAGAGAGAACAAAATATTGAAAACCTGTTTGAAAAAATAATGGCAGAAAACTTCCCTAATCTGGTGATGGAAATAGATATACAAGTTCAGGAAGCACATAGAGTCCCAAACAAGATGAACCCAAAGAGGCCCACACCAAGATACATCAAAATTAAAATGCCAAAGGTTAAAGACAAAGAGACAATCCTAAAAGCAGCAAGGAAAAAGCAGTTAGTTACTTACAAGGTTGCTCCCACAAGATTGTCAGCTGATTTCTCTAAAGAAACTTTTCTGGCCAGAAGGGAGTGGCAAGAAATATTCAAAGTGATGAAAAGCAAGAACCTACAACCAAGATTACTCTACCCAGCAAAGTTATTTAAAATCAAAGGACATATAAAGAGCTTCCCAGATAAGAAAAAGCTAAAGGAGTTCATCACCACTAAACCAGTATACATGAAATGTTAAAGGGTCTTCTTGAAGAAAAAGATAAAAAATATGAACAGTAAAATGGTAATAAATACATACCTATCAACAATTGAATCCAAAAATCAAAATAAATGAAGAAGCAGAACAGCAGAAACAGATTCATAGATATAGAGAACATTTTGATGGTTGCCAGATGGTTGAGGGGTTGGGCAAAGGGATTAAGTACAAGTTGGTTGTTACAGAATAGTCATGGGGATGTAAAGCACAGCAGAAGAAATATAGTCAATAATATTCTAATAACTTTGTATGGTGTCAGATACATAAGAGATTTATAGGGATGATCACTTAGTTTTATATAATGTCTAATCACTGGAGTGTACACCTGAAATTAATATAATATTGTATGTCAACTGTAATTGAAAAATAAAAAATGATTTAAAACAAAACCAAACCAAAAATACCCCACAGTTACCCAGAAGAAAATGGCACAGGAGAGATTTCATAAAGCTAGGTCTCTCTGTCTACACAGTTCATGTCTATCCCCATACCTGCTCAGAGGCCTAGTAAGGTGACTCTGAAAGTACTATGCTCCTCAGGTCCAGTGAGCTAAAGAGATATACACATGTAAGGTGTCGTTTCAGTGTTGTGAGAGGTTCACTTCCAAGTTGTGGCCAAATAAGTCCAACAGTGCAATCTGGGTGAATATGAGAGAGCAGCTGGACCCTCTGTCTGGGCCCCTGTGTGTGCTTTAGGTAATTAACCACGAACATGCTGGTTCTGTGCACAGCATGATGTTTCCATAGACAGCAATGTTAGGCAAGGCAGCGCACTGTGTGGATGGATGCGATTTAGTGAATGTCACAAATCTATTTTTTTAAAAAGACGATCATTCCTTAATAGCAAAACCTACCAAAAATTATTTTCAAAACACTATATGAACTCAGGAGAAAGAATGTAAGTGTTGGATAGGAGCGTATACCCGAGATTTTGTGTTTTTACAGTCCTTACAGATATCCCCGTAAGGTAAACATGACACATGTTAGCCAGGTTTGACAATTTGGAAGCATAGAAAAGTGTTATTACTGTCCACAGCTCTAGTTAAACGTTATGTCCATTTATATTTTTTTCCTTCTTGTCTCAGGAAAAATTAAGTTTGAGAGCCTTTTTGTTTTTGTCCTTCCCTGTAAGCCTAAGTTCCGAGGCCCTTCTCAGGCACTTGACAGGAGTCACTGTTCATTCTTTCTGGCCATAGAAGCTCAATGGCCTTGAAGCTCAAAGGCCCCTTCACAGCCCTGCCCTCATACTTTTTAAATAAACATGAAATGGTTATATCTTAAAAAATATACTTGAGAAACCGCAAATCTTAAAGAATGTGTACGTGGTTGTTAAGAGACTTGGGTCTTTCACTCACTTATGTGATCTTGTGCAAAGTACTCGCGCTCCCCTGCACGTCTGATGTTGACAGTTATGTCTATTCCCCACCCCCAATCGGCACCTTCCTCTCTGGCATGCCTACTACTGCTTACCAGGTAATGGAAAAGGTTCTGGAATTTTCATTCCTAAATGAGAAAGAAGTTTTCAGTGACTTGCAGTTTGCTCCAGTGAGTACAATTTCCAAACCCTTGCCCGATGAGATCAAGTGATACAAGTGTCAAAGGTCCCACTACACTGCGTTTCTGGCTTTACGAATCCTCACTGTGCAAGTCCACACCAAGCTTAGAAGAGCCTTCTGCCATGGCACCTCACTGAGTCTATCTCTCTGAAAGCAGAACACCATACTACGTTTTGTTACCTGGAGATCCTAGATGCCAAGATATTAGCCAAAAGCTAACAATCAGCTTTTGCAGGAAGCTGAAGTTTCTATTGAGTAACTTTAGCTGTAGAACCTGGAAGGTGCTAGGCTGCATGCATCCAGGTCCCCCGCAGCCTTGCCCCTCAGCAATGCCCCCAAGAGAGCGGACTTTCCTATTCCAGGAACAGGAGTAAAGGTACTTTGTCTACTCTCTTCCCCAGCTAAGTCTTTGTAGAGTGACTGACAGGCAGCTATAAAGGAAATTTTAATGAATAACAATAGTCTCATGACAATATTCTCTTTAATTCCAAGGGGAATCCTTCTCAGCTCATACTTGGGCCCAGAGGGTGAAAAGAAATCTGTCTTACCAGGTATTTGGATGGGCTCATGGCTCTTCATACCTAAAAACAGAAATGAATACTGGTTAGTCTTAATCAATTATCTTGCATTGTTAATGCTTACTTTTGTCTACACCTCCCCCATCTCTAACACTTTAAAAAGGGGGAGAAAAAAACAGTAACACAAAAATACCTTTCAATGGCTCTTCATTCTCTAACTGGACAAAGCCCAAACTCCTTAGCCAAGAACTTTATGATCTGGCCCTATGTCTCCAAGCTTACCTTCATAAGGCAGTCCTAGTACACTGGTTTTTAAACAAAACAGTACTGGGTGTAAGACTCTTCTTGGTTTGGTTCTATTGTCATTATAGTTATTAGCTCTGTAACTGCTCGGCTTTCTTAATGTCTTTGACCTTCAAGTCCTTACTTATGTAAAAGAAATCCCTACCTTGCAGGTTTGTAGTAAGTGATGATTAAAGGAGATACGTGATAAAAGTACTTAGTACACTGCATGAAACATAATCAGCACTCAATAAATGAAGTCCTTCTGTTCTGGTTTAATTCATTCCTCAAACTCTCCAAGTCCAGTAATGCCCTTGGTCCTGGAGTCCTTGTGTCTCCTCTTAACCTCCTAAGCTGGTAGCTAGCCTCAGAGAGTAACCAAAAAGATTACCCACCAGGTAAGACAGTGGACTCCTGGCTTTTCATTCCTAAAAATGAGAATAGGAAATATTTAGTGAAAAATGCATTTGGCTTGAAAATTAATTTAACCTTATTTTATATGGATATTTATACAGTGGAAAACTCTAAAAGCTTTGAGAGATGGCTAGGGACAGAGTAAAGGAGAGAAGATTTAACCCACTGGAGCCTGACTGATATCTGGTGAGAACAATGACCAGTGACCCAAGATCTCTCCTAGATTAAGCAAAAACAGCTCCTGTTGATTTATTTTATTTTAATTTTTATAAGAGTTTATTTGAGTCAGACTGAGGACATATGCCACCAACAAGATCTCGGCTGCTCCTGGATTTTTTTTTAGGGTCTGTCCAAAGACTCCAACCTACATTTGCCATGATGTATATTTTTAATAAAACTTCTTGATTATATAAGTAAGCAATACATTATAATTACAGATAATTTGGAAAAAAACAAAATTATTAAAAATTATTCTTAATCTCAAATCTCAGAGCTGGTAATTCTTAACATTTTTGGTATATTTCTTTTCAATCTCTTTTCCATGTGTGTATATATATGCACATATACATTTTTAGCATGTTTTCCAGTGTTATTGAGATGCAACTGACATTCGGCACTGTGTAAATTTAAGGTGTACAGCATAATGACTTGACTTACATTTATTGTGCAATGATTACTATAACAAGTTTAGTTAATATCTGTCATCTTATATAGATACAAAAAAAAAGAGAGAAGAAAACTGTTTTTTTCCTTGTGGTGAGAACTTTTAGAATCTACTCTCTTAGCAACTTTCAAATACACCATACAGCAATGTTAACTATAGTCATCATGTTGTACATTATATCCACAGTACTTATTTATCTTATAACTAGAAGTTTGTACTTTTTCACATTTTTTAACAAAATTGATATCATGCTGTCTATATCCTTTTTTTATTTGCCACTATATATAAATGCTTTCTCATATTCTTATAATATTTTTCAAAATGATTTTTAAGTTCAGTGTTTCATAATATGGGTATAATTTTATTTAGTAATATCCACCTGTTGGGCATTGAGGTTATTTATAAATTTTAGCTACTGTAACACTATGTAAATAATTTTGTACACATTTTATATACAATTTTTTATGATTATTTCTTTAGGATAAGTATCTAAGTGCTATAACTAGGTTAAAAGGTATGAACATTTTTAAAGCTAGTAATACATACTACCTAACTGTCTTCCAGAAAAGTTCCAATTTATAAGCTCACCAGTAATTTAAGTGTTCTCTTCCTAGCACCCTTAAGAACATTTGAACAATATCACTTAAAAAAAACTTAGGCCCTGCCAGTCTGGCTCGGTGGTTAAGAGTGTTGGCCCGCGGACCAATGAGACCCAGGTTCAATTCCAACCAAGGGCACGTACTTCGGTTGTGGTTTGTCCCTGGTCCTGGTTGGGTCATGGGAGGCAACCAGTTGATGTGTCTCTCTCGCATCGATGTTTCTCTCTCTCTCTCTCTCTCCCTCTTTCCCTCCCTCCTAATCTGTCTGAAGATGAATGGAAAAATGTCCTTGGGTGAGGATTAAAAAAAAAAAAAAAAACCTTAGGAATATACTAAATATTCAAGTAGATATAGTTAATAGAATCTGTTAGATTGTTAGAAGCAGAAATAAATATACAAAATCATAATTTTTAATTTAGAACAAAAAAATGCCATTTTTAATGCCCCTGCCCAATATCCTAGGTCATAACAGTTTGTGGGCCCTGGCCAGTTTGGCTCAGAGGTTAGAGTGTCGGCCTGCAGACCAGAGTCCCAGTTCAGTTCCCACTAAGGGCATATACCTTGGTTGCAGTTTGTCCCTACCCCAGTTGGGGTCATATGTGTGTGTGTGGCAACTGCTCGATGTGTCTTTCTCACATCGATGTTTCTCTCTCTCTCTTCCCCCCTCTCCCTCCCGCTCTATCTGAAGATAAATGGAAGAAAAAAAATGTCCTTGGGTGAGGATTAAAAAAACATAAGAGTTTTTGGAATAATTAGTCACACCTTACTCTATCCATGTAACTGCTAGCATAAAGCAGAAAATAATATGTTCTTTAGAATTACCTCCTCAACTTCTCTCCTGGGATAATCTAAAGATTGTTAGATAAGAGACACAGAGAGAGCTGCTGTGTCATCGTTGCTAAGAAGTCTATCTGAAATTCAGGAGATCTCTGATATACCAAACTAGTAAGCTAAAGTAGTTCTTCCCCGCTCCCTCTGGTCCTTACCATGCCATGCCCATCTTGCTCCCATCCCTAAGGGAACTATCTTGCAAATGTGAAACCCTCAAGTTTATGTAAATGTCTTACCAGGGTCTTCAAGCTTCTGGTTTTTATCACCTAAGTTACAAAAAGAAACTTTCCATTTTAACAATAGAATAAAATAATTGGAAGTTACTATAGTTATAACAAAACTATTTTCAGGAAATATAGTCATAAAGAACCATTTGGTACATCCAGTAAATTAATGCTACTAAATTTAAGTGTCAACCAGAGTCTAAATGCACACGGGCTGGAACTTTCCTCTGGCATCTCAAGAAAAACCATCACATATAACAAGTCTCCAAGGGGATCTCAATGAGAAAGAAAAATGTCTGTCTTGAAGAGTTAGCTGAGGTCCCTGCAAAGTGACCAGTACACTTTTGGCTGCAATGGGCCAATAAAAAGTGTGCCCAAGCAAATGCCTCAGGGGCATGAAGTGCTTCACATTACATTATGACAGGAAGTAAAGGGAAAGGCCTGATACCTTTCTCTCTTCAATAAAGAAAATCTAGCCCTGGCCAGTTTGGCTCAGCGGTTAGAGCGTCGGCCTGCGGTCTTGAGAGACCCGGATTCAGTTCCCGCTAAGGGCATGTACCTCAGTTGCAGTTTGTCCCCGGCCCTGGTTGGTCGTGCGGGTGGCAGCCACTCGATGTGTTCCTTTCACGTCGATGTTTCTCTCTCTCTCTGTTCCTCTCTCTCCCTCCCGCTCTACCTGAACAAAAAATGGAAAAATGTCCTCGGATGAGGATAAAATAAATAAATAAATAAATAAATAAATAAATAAATAAATAATAAAGAAAATCTCTTATTGTAGCTACATGGGCCAAACACATAATAAAGAACTTAAATGCACAGAAGTGATTTGGGCCATATCACCATTAATTGGAAACTCAGGGGAGAAAAACATCTAATCACCCAGATATTTTAGTAAAATGATACCAAATATTAGCATATTTGAGAGGCACAAATATTTAACTTTTCTACTTTCATCTAAATGGTGTTGTCACACAGATTAATCCCAGTGACTGAATTTGGAGCCCCCAGACCTCTCAAGAGTGACTAAGGTCCCACCAACCTTATTCCCTAGAATGTTTCCATATTGTTCACTTATAGACGGGTGAATTTCCCCAGAATAGATTCTTTTCTTTTTCCCCTCTCATATGTGCCAAGTTACCCCTTCATAACTGCAAAATACTTTTTCTTCAGCTAAGAACTGAATTTGTTAAATAAGAAAGAGCTATTAAATATCCAATGTAAGTATTATTTTTAAACATGAGAGCATACTTACCAGGGCTGGAGATATAGATGGGTTGAAAATAATCTGAAATACAAATGTTTTCATTATACAGTACTATGCTCAGACATGAATGTCAGGTTCAGTCTAGTTTTAAACATTTATTAATGATAAAATTTTGAGTTGGCTTACTTCAAAGATACATATAAAATGTGGTGAGGTAAGCAATATAAAAATTTTAGTCTCAAAAACAAATGGATGTGGATTCATTTTAATTACATAAAAAAGAATTCATAGAAAAACTAGCCAAGAAAACAGCTAGAAATAAATGGACCCTTATTTTCAAACTTTTTAATAAGGAAATCTTTAAAAAGTTCACCCAAAGCATGTATCAGCCCAAGGTATTTTCTGACAACATTGGTTCAAATCTGTTGGGCCTATCTGATGCTATTCTTGAATACTCTTAAAATTCCTGTGCGCCTATTCAAAGTTTCCCATGATCATCTAAGAAAGATTATATTTTGTTACATCCTCCTATTTTCCCCAGGAAGCTAAGACAAACTACATTACCATTCTGTCCCTCCAAGCTCTCATCTTGAGCCACGTTCACTCTACGCCTTCATTAGTCTCCAAAATGTTATTTCCTAAGATATCAAAACATATGAAGTCTAGCTCTGTGTATAGGAGTCATGTAGGGGCATTCAGAAGTCCTTATGCCCCTGTAAGGATAGGCTAGAGTAGAATGGTACTACATGCCAAGAAAAATGCAGTGTTTGAGAGAACAGCCACACGCAAGGCTGTAGGTGGGAACGGGGGGGGGGGGGGCGCCTCCACCTGAAAAGGCAGTACAGTCGTCCCTCGCCACTTCATGCTTTGACTTTCGCAGCTTCACTCTATCGTGATTTTTTCCAAACACTATAGGTACATAAATAAAGAATCCTACTTCGCGGAAACTCATTTATTGCGGTAAAGTCTGGAATGATTAACTGCGATAAATGAGGGCCGACTGTAGCAGTGGCACAAGTCTGCCTTAAAATATGATGGCTGCCAGTTTTACAATATGGTCAGACCGCTCTGACCCCTGCCTGTAAGAAATAACACTGGTAAAATTCCCATTACAAAGATAAAACTTTAAAGCATATCTTACCCATGTTCTCAATACAATTTGCAGTTTTTAGTCCTGAAACATAAAGATAAAGCTTTATTAGTTAGACACAATATACCCTGTAAAAATTTCAAACTGGTCTGTGGCTATTAGTAATCTGTCAGCTCCTCGTTTATCAGACCCTTAACTTAGTGGAATGCAAAATGCAGAACAATTACATTTTTGTATTCATATTATAGCCATCTAACAGCAGTATGATCTTTGATAAAACATCTAACATTTCTGGAATTTAGCTTCCTTATCTGTATCGTTTAGTGAGAGATTGCTCCAAATGACTGCCAAAGGTCCTTCCAAAGCTAACACTTAATGATTCTATTCTATGATTAGTCTGTAAAATTAGGATAAATTTTACTACTTGTTCAACTAATTCTCTCTTCAAATACTAAAGATCCTCAACAACAAACCTATCCCTTTACTATGACAGTTTCTATCCATTGGAGAAAAAGAATCTCAGTTTCAAGATCCTTGAATACATGAACAAAGATCCTTCACATGCATATAGAGAAACAGAGTTGGTAGGCCCCAGAAAACTGATCTGTATGTAAGAAGATCCACAGTTTTGGGGGAACAGAAACATGCATCTAATAGAATACCTTTATACCTTCTTGCTAGTGATGCCTGGAAAAAAATCAGTGCAGCAGCGATTCCCCTGAGACTTGACATAAAGGGAAATCTGCTAGCCTGCCCAAAAGCAGTTAAGGCCAAAAAAAAGGTCAGTAAGAAGGTATCTGGATTTGGTGCCAGCATGCACCATGGAGGGTTTCCCAGAATTCCACAAGAAGGTCTAGATGTTCTATGGTCTCTTCTCCATGCCTAGCTAACTCACTCATCTAATCAAGTTCAGTTATCTGAGGATAAACCTCTCCATCTTAGAGGAGTTCCTGAGAGGCCTGGTTTCACCATGAGCTGTGCTCTTCTATAATCTTCTCTCAAATCTTGCTTATTTGTGGAGTCTGAACCAAGAATCCAGGTGACGTGCTGGTCCAGAAATTGGTACAGATCTGTTAGAATCTGATGGTGACCTGAAGCTAACCTTAGGTGTTTGGCTAGACTAGACATTTATAAAACAGTTCTAGAGCCCAGTCTCTGTGGCTCAGTGGACTGAGCGTCATCCCATGGACTGAGAGGTCCCAGTTCGATTCCCAGTCAGGGCACATGCCCGGGTTGTGGACTTGATCCCCAGTAGGGGGTGTGCAGGAGGCAGCTGATCAATGTTTTTCTCTCACATAGATGTTTCTATCTCTCTCTCCCTTCCTCTCTCTCTAAAAAATCAATAAAAACATATTTTTAAAGAGAGAAAGAAAAAATAAAAAAACTGTTCTAGAGACAATTACAAAATGTATCCTCAGTAGAAGATGAGTGGGTGCGAGCATTACAGGGCTTAGCTGAGGGTAAGGTGAAGAGGTGAGGAAATTGTGGATGAGAAAGCTACAGATATAATAGATTCAGCCTGGGGACCAGGCTCTGGGGGATTTTAAAAGCCTTTATCTTTGGTCGTGAGCACAAATTAGAACATGTTTCTCAAAGTGTAGTCTTCCATCACACATTTCAGAATCGCCTGGGTACTTATTAAAATGGAAATTTTCAGGACTATTGATTTAGAACTTCTGAGGATGGTGCCTGGTAATCTCCCTTCCTCTCTCTCTCAAATCAATTTTTAAAATTTTTTTTAAAGATTACAGCAGTATTTGTTGGCCACTGGGCTTTTGGACACAAGGACTTCTTCCCTTTGCAGAGCTGCTACTGTTAGCCTGTTATTGGGCCTAACTGGGACAGACTGTCTCACTAAATAAAAGTCATAACTTTCCAAGCCAATACCTTAATAAGCAATGGGTGCTCTCTGAACTAAATTCCCATAAGGCAGGAAAAATTCCCAAAAGATCCACTGTCAGCCATGGCCAGTGTGGCTCAGTTGGCTGGGCGTCGACCCATGCACCAAAAGGTCCTTGGTTTAGTTCTAGTCAGGGCACATGCCCAGGGGGTTGTAGGCTCCACTCCCGGTAGGGGGTGTGTAGGAGGCAGCCAATTGATGTCTCACTCTAACATGGATGTTTCTCTCTCCCTCTCCCTTCCTCTTCCAAAAAAAAAAAAAAATTACCTCCAATTAAGGGCCAAACCTGGTTCCTAAAGCCTTAGCCACTTTCACAGGCAGGCGGCTGCCCCTCTATTAGACCAGCAATCTGCAAACAGTAGCAGAGGTATTCCTGAGTGCTATAGCAAATCCACAGGGGTACCAAGGGATACTTTAAAATTTTAAAACAAACACAGCCATAGTTGATATCTGTCAGTTCACATATGAACTACTAGCTTGAGGTAGAATGCAGTTTCAAAGTTATATTATGTTACATTCTATTTAATATCTTACATTTGCAAAGCTGTTTTTCAGCAATTGCAATAAAAAGCAAGTATGTGAAAAGTAATGTGGATCAGGAAATAAGGTAGTGTCTAATCTAATTCCAAGGTTTAGGAAGCTGTGTATTGTTCAAGGCACATACATCCTATTAGAATAATACTTTTTTTTTTGGTATGTGCCCCTAGCGGGAACCAAACCTAGGACTCTCTGGTCCGCAGGCTAATGCTCCAGTCGCTGAGCCAAGCTGGCCAGGGCAGAATAGTACTTTTCTTTTAAATGTGGGGGAAGGAGGTGGGCAAAGGAGGAGAAAATGGGGACATCTATAATAGTTTCAACAATAAAAATAAAGTTAAAAAAATTTTGTGTATTATTTTTTCAAACAGCTACTAAGACATTAGGAAATAAATGTTTATTGAGTTGTTTGACTTTACCTAATAAGTGGAACTTTGGGATACTTCTCTTAGCCTAGGGACACTGAAACAAACTATGATAACACTAAGGAAAGGACCACGAACTGAGAAAGTTTGAAAACCTCTGCATTACACATTACAAAAGCCTTACCTACTACTTTACCCAAACTACTGGCTTAATGGGGGCCTTCCCTACAAGACTTCACACCTGAAAAGACAGCACAGTTCTCTAACAAAACAGCCTGCCCCCTAGTTTGGAAAATCCAATAGAAGCCTGCATCCATCCATTATAATGATGATAACTTGTTCATTACCTCGGATGCTATGTGTGAAGAGCTGAACTTCAAACGATGACCCTGGCAAGGAGCACATCTATGTTTATGTACGCTCATGTGCCAACACTACTGTCCCAGCTGTATGATCAGGCCATTGAGACACCCAGAATTGGATTACTAAAGACAAACTCAATGCAGTCCCTCTCTATGGAAATGAATATAGCAAACACAGCTCATGAGCTCAGTCTTTACGTTACACATGTACATGCTCATATGAAGTGACTGCATCTAAAGAAAAGTCTCTGGAAACCAACAAAGCAAATCAAGTATGTGCAGCCATCATCTCTACTACAGCTCTGGTTCTATAATCTACCACAGTAAAAAATCGTTATAAAGGACTAGGACTTCAAATGAAAAAGTCTACCAGCCTCCCCAGTGAAGATCTCTACAGGACTGACAGGTCTGGCTGTCTTCAGATATTCACAAGTTGCCCACAATCTTGCTAACCTCTGCCTTGACTGAGTTCCCAAGCACCAACGAATTAGAGTTTGGAGAATGAGAGAAATTGGAGGAAGACTGTATTCCTCTCCTTTTTGTGTGGGTGTGCTTGTTCTGACTTCTCTGGGTAGATAGATATTCATATTCATATACCAGCTTTTACTTCAGTAAATGAATATATATTTCGTATGACCTACACAGACTGATCACATTGATCAGATCAGAAACATCAGCATATGAAACTGGTTGCTGATTTTGCTTCCAGAGGTTCTGTAGCTACTCTCCTCTGCCTGCAGAAGTCACCATGGAACTCATAATTATGGAGAAAGGACAGCCAATCTGGATCATCCCCAAGGGGAGGTGACAGACTATAATGGGTTGGGATTATGGTAAGTGGCTTCTAACATGGCTCCCAAAAGTCCTGCCTCCTTGTATTCACACCCTAATGTAATCCTCTCCTCTTGAGTGTGGATTGAACCTAGTGACTTGCTTCTAGTAAAAATATTAGGTTGCAAAAGACTGACTTGCTGGTCACTGCTTCTTGCTCTCTCTCTCTCTCTTGCTTACTCTGGTGAAGCAAGCTGCGTCACGTTTAACGATAAGGAATATAGTCTAATTACACAGCTGACGTTCTGCCTTTATCAATTTTCTAAGGAAACGTAACACAAGATTAACCTGTGGTGATTCTCCCATGAGGAAGGATAAAGAGTTTTGTTACCATTTATGCACAGTTCACTCCCATAATCTCAAAATAATACCAAGTTTAGTATCTTTGACCATCAGGAATTGTATTATCCAATAGGACATTGGTATTCTCTCCACTTCCTAACCAAATGAACTTTTTTTTTTTTAAGCTAACTAGTTTTTGTAAGTCCCACAACACATTTTTATCTTGGAAATCATAATAAAGTTCAAAATAAGAATACAGGACTATGTTAGTGCTAATTTAGTACAGTACAACTTTTTAATCCCTTTAAGAAATTGTCTTTTTGCCCTGGCCGGTTTGGCTCAGTGGGTAGAGCGTCCGCCTGCGGTCTGGAGAGACCCGGGTTTGGTTCCCGCTAAGGGCATGTGCCTCGGTTGCAGTTTGTCCCCGGCCCTGGTTGGTCGTGCGGGTGGCAGCCTGGTTGGTCGTGCGGGTGGCAGCCACTCAATGTATCCCTTTCACATCGATGTTTCCCTCTCTCTCCCTCCCACTCTATCTGTGCAAAAAATGGAAAAATGTCCTCGGGTGAGGGTAAAAAAAAAAGAAATTGTCTTTTTTTCATCCAAAATTATAGTCACAATGGAACAAGGTTCTGATTATATCCCGGCTTGCTTCTAAAAGTTCTGATTATTGTCCCTTAATAGTGTTTCAAACAGCCCTAGCTTTAATGATCGAGTTTTTGACCTTAAGTTTCCATTAGTTGTCTCTAGATGGCAGCAGAGGACAATGGTTAGACTTCAGTTTGGAATTAAATCAATACAATCAAGTGCAGTGGCCTGACTTCGTCAGAGCTTTCCAAAAAAATAGTACATGTGAGTCTCCACAAAGGTCTCCCCTTGTGACTGCTTTGAACATTAACCTGCCAGGTTACCTCTGTCTGACTTTGTGGGCAGGCCCACAGAGGTGTGCCCATTGCCCTTTCCCTTTCCTCACATGAGGCTCATAATGCACTTGTCCATGCAGGTTTGAGAAGGACTCATTCTGAATCAACCCAATGGCTTCACCCCTTTTGTTCATCATAACCCTACTTGAAAACATGGGTTTTGAGGCTTCACTGCCCACCTCTGTCAATCAACCAGATATCAGTGATTGATTGGGCCTGTAGCTACTGCAGCCAGGGTTCTTGCACAACCAAGGCCTTCACATGTGGCATGTAGCAAATACATCAGCCCAGAGGCAACAGGGTTTCTGGCAGTGATGTGCTGGTGAGGTTGAACAAGTTCTGTAGTGGGGGTCGGAGGGTCTTGATTTGCAGTGTTTGCTGACTTCTATGGTATAACTCTCAACCATGGCCACTTTCAAGCTATTGTGATATATAAAGAACTGGGGAGACATACATGCCCACAAATCAGTCCCCATGAGCTGGTACGAGCTGACTCCAACTGGCTTGGTTTTTGGTCAGGTCTAATGTATGGTTGGTAAGAGAATGAGCATCTTTCCTCCCTACACAAATTTACTTACTCCAGTCACCATCTGTCCCTCAAGGTAAACTGTTAGTCTCACTTATTTGCAACTCAGGGCCAGGACTAGGGTGAGCCAAATGAGGTGACAAGTGCAAGCTTTAAGAGGGAACTCGCTCTTAGGACCATGGGAGTGCAGATGCTGCAAGTGTACGACCCCAAGACTGAGGAGTTCCTTAAATTTTGTGTCCCTGGCATTTTAATGGCTACATAGCTTCTGCCATTAAACCGCAAATGGATCAGCCTCCCACCTAGGCATGATGTCTCATCAGCACATCCCCCTCAATTCTTTATCTCATAGTGCCTTGACTACACTGAGTCAAAATCTAAATATCTGTCCACTTGTGAGGCCCTACTGCAACACTCACTCTGCTTGACCAGCAGTCATGGTTTGGGGTTCAGCTAGATAATACCACTCGTAAGACTCCAAAAAGCTATCACCTCACCAGCTTTGCAGAAAAATGCTAGGCAGGGAACATAGCATACTATTTAGCAACAGAATAGCATGAGATACACCCCTTCAGTGGAAGTCCTTATAGCAGTCCAGAGCTATTAGCCCCCAGAATGATGCTCAATTACAAGGAAACAAGATTACACAGATGGGTGCAGGAACTATCCTAACTTAGTAGCCTCATGCCACATATTTATTTGTCACAGAAAACAGTATCTCTTATACCAGTCCATGAATGTACTTCTAGGAATCAGCAAGAAGAACACCTGGGTATGTCACAATACATTCAGGTATGCCCAATACTGTGGCTTCCCGGCAGGTATTTGCAGTCCATTCACAACCCTCCCAGATCAGATGCACATTCCCAACCAAGGGTTATGTTTACTATTAGGCAGTTGACCATTAGTCATTCCACCTTTAGTAGATTTCAGAGAAAAAGTGCTAGATCAACTGGAGGCTATTTTCATAGGAAGAAGTAGAAAGAGTTTTGTTAACTCTTTACTCACATACCCCAAGGCACATCATAAAATTTCAGAATGTTGGAGATAAAGAAAACATCTTAAAACTTTTCAGAGTGAAAAAACAGGTTTTATTCAAAGTTTTGGTAATTAGAATGGCTTCACACTTTTCACCAGCAGCACCAGAAACTAGAAGACAATGGAGGAACATCTCCAAAATCTCTAGGAAAATAATTTCTGAAACAGAAATACAAATCTACACATTCAAGCCTAAAGGTAGATTTTTCAGACAAGCAGTCTTAGAAAATCTTCCTTAATGTCCCTTTTCTTAGAAAACTTCCAGAGAACCCTTAGAAATCCAAGATTTAGGGGATTCCTTACAGGGGAGAAGCAAAAGAAATCTCAGAATAGTAGTGAGGAGAGATTTCTGTATATTCAACAGGCCTAGAGAGCACAGCACACAGTGGGATGATGGGGGAATATAGCAGTATATCCAGAAAAAGGGGGGAAAAAAGGAGAGAGAGTATCTGAATGTATTAAGATTACATTTCTAAAGATTTGGGGGTAAATTTTTTTTTTAAATCTCATCCAAAGATAATTTTTCCATTTATCTTTAGAGTGGAAGAGAGGGAGGGAGGGAGGGAGAGAGAGAGAAACATCAATGTGAGAGAGACACATCAACTGGTTGCTTCCTGCACAACCTCAACCAGGGCCGGGGACAAACCGCAACCAAGGTACATGCCCTTGGCCTAAATCGAACCCGTGACTCTTTGGTCCAAGGGCCAACGTTCTAATTGCTGAATTGCTGAGCCACACTGGCCAGGGCCAGGTAAATTACTGAAGATATATAAAAACGAAGGAAACAAAAATATCATACAACTAATCACCCTAGGGTAAAGAGGTACTTAACAAGGTACCAGTCTTAATTACACTGGGAAATTGGGAAGAGGAGAATGCACAAATATTGAAGAGGAGGGTGCCGATTATTAGAAACTTTTAGTTTACTGACCTAACAGCTATTTTTAATTCCCTTCTCCCTTTCCTCCCTGCACTAGAGGCTGGAAACACTAATCACCCCCTTTCCAAACCTTTCTTGTAGTTATGAATGACCAAGTGGCTGTTACAGTCAATGATATGTAATCAGAAATCTACCAAGAGTTTCTTCGAAAACATTTACTTTCCTGATTAAATAGGCTGCCATCCCTCTTTTCCTTTATTTTGTCTTGAACATGGACTGATGTCCACAGTTACAATACAAACATGAATCAACAAACCAGCATGCTAAGACTGGTGGAACAGAAAGAGCCTGAGTTAGTGATGACATTGTTGAGCCACTGTACCAAGTCTGGACAGCCTACCATTAGCCCTCTCATTAAACAAGAGCTATTAGGTATGTTTTCTGTTACAGGTGAATGCAGTAAAGAACTCCTAACCAATGCATGGAATATGAGAGCTAAATGGTAATTCTCTATACTGTGAAGCCAACAGAAAAAAATCAAGAAATAACATGCTGAAACATTTCATTTACTTAGAAACATGACAATAAGTACCTAGAAAAAAAAGCTAATAAAATTGGAAACCACGGAGGAGTGGCCAATGGGAATGGGTGGGAAAGGGGTTGCTACTTTTCATTCTAAGCCATATAGTAGTATTTTGGCCCAGGTGCTTTGTTGTGAGGGGCTGTTCGGTGCATTGTTTAGTAGTGTCCTTGGCCTCTACTTAGTAGATGCTAGTAGCAACTAGGACAGTTGTAACAACTAAAAATGTTTCCTGCCATGCCCTGGCCAGTCTGGCTCAGCAGTCAGAGCATCAGCCTGTGGACTGAAGTGTCAAGGGTTCAATTCCTGGACTGAAGTGTCAAGGGTTCAATTCCTGGTCAAGGGTACGTACCTGGGTTGCAGGTTTGATTCCCAGCCCCAGTGAGGGTTATGTGGGAGGCAACCAATTGATATGTCTCTTTAAATCAATGTTTTTCCCTCTCTTCCTCTCCCTCTCCCTCCACCCCTAATTCCCTTCTAGTCTATCTAAAAATCAATGGAAAAAAAATCCTCAGATGAGGATTAACAAAAAAACAAGAGAGTGTTTCCTGCCTTTGTCAAATGACTCTGAGGGGCAAATTGTTCCTGGTTGAGAACGATGGCCTTATAGCACTATTTTATTTTTTTAACTTTAAATAGTACTGTAAATGTGTTACTTTAATAAAACTAAATTTTGGAGGGAAAAAACTAACAGTATGAAAGGAGCTAGACTAGAGACCACCAATGTCATTTCTTCTTTCAAACACCTCTCAGTTTCCTACCTGACCTCTCCCTGGTCCTAAGAATCCCACACCTTCCTTCCCAGACAGAACAGACAGAACAGAGACACTTACCTCCTAGAAACGCACACTCGTAATGGCTGCAGGTCTTGTTTGTGCTTTGAAGGATAAGGTTATTGCCAGCCCCATCCTGGGACACATGAAAAACCTCATTCATAGGTATTAAAATAATTCTTTCACTTTCACTTTCTTTATCAAAAAATTTTTCAACAGCAACTCCAAAGCATGTGTGAATAGTTAACAGAATGTGTTGGTCACTTGCAGCTTGAGGTTTGGCTGAATATGCCAAGGTGAATTGGCCAAATCTGGCTTGGTTTGGCCCTCCAAAGGTAAATGAAGTGCCCTGGCTGGAGCTATACACCACATTTTTGTAACTATCCTCACAAGGTCTTCTCAGCAACTGCAGGGCTTTTGTCAGGTAAAAATGAAAAGCTTTGAACTGGAAGCCAAAGATATAATCTTTTCGAGATTGGCCAGCCATCTTCACAGCTGCATTGAACAGACGGTAAAAGGGGGAAGTTTGCTCTTGAGCTTCAGAAATATATGCCATCAGGGCTATTCCATGGTTATCCTTAAAACTCACAGGGAGAAAGAGCTGAGTCTTCCGAGCTTCCCATTTGGCTTTCGCATTTTCCCACACATCTTCCAAAAGCTGATGGCTTGCTTTTTCTTCCTTGAGCAGTTGGGGAACAAATTTGATTTCCATCCTGTCAGTACATTTCTGGTATTCATCATCAAATGCATTATCTGCCATGTCTAACATATTAGCCTTCACCTTCAAAAGAAAAGGAAATTAATACTCTTGAAATAAGATATTTGGTGTGTCATTTTCTCTCACATTACTGCTTCCATACTTTCATACCCTGCCAAGAAAGAATCTCTCTCTTGCTTACAACCAACCTTTTTTTTCCTAGAGAGAGAGAAAGGGAGAAGGAGAGAGAGAGAGACATCGATGAGAGAGAGCATCGACTGGCTGCCTCCTGCATGCCCCCCACTGGGGATCAGGTCCACAACCTGGAATCGAACCAGCGATCTCTTGGTGCATGGGTCAATGCTCAACCACTGAGCCACACCATCTGGGCTATGTTTTTTATGTAGAAAGTATATTCCGTTGCTATTGATAACTTTTCTCACTTATGACCTATTTGTGTGAAAGAGTAAGTTAGTGGGTAAGATACGGGTATGATTATGACTGTAACTCATTCATTTGAACCTTGTGGTGCAGAGGAAAAACCAATGAGTATAAAATTGAAGAAATGGGTGGCAGTCCTGACTTTGAAAATATTCTTAGCCAGATTTCCTCCCTCAAAACTATTGAGTGAATATGAAATTACTATGCATGAAATACTATACATGACAAATACATAATGGCAAATATCACCCCTCTTCTTTTGAGGACACTCCCTTCCTTGTCTACGTGGTTTGGGTAGGACTAATTCTGCACCTTCAGCCCCAGTGATAAGCGGTGAATCAGGGTTAAAAACCAGACACTCTTTCTCTACAATCCTAAATTCTAAGGATACTACTGGCTTGGGGAAGCCAACAGTTATCCTTTTAGTTGCATGGAGAATCCTGTCTGCAAATAAAGCCAACAAAGAAAGGCTTGCAGAGCTGAGGTGGAGAAAGAAGAGAGAGAGAGAGATGAGACCCTGATAATATAACTAAAGGCCCTGGATCTAACTATACTTGAAGTCTGTATTTTACCTTAGTCATAAGAAGCAACAAATGCCCTGCTGGCTTGAGCACATTTGCATTGTTTCTGTCATATACAACTGAAAAAGGCCCAATTCATCTTTAAATGATACATATAGCTAAGAAACAGGAGGGTGTACTATAATTAATACTAGCGTGGAGTCAGACAGATGTGGGTTCAAATTCCATTTCTGTTACTAACTAGGTACCAATTAAGAATGGGAAAGTTATTTGACATTTCTGAGCTTCAATTTTTTAATCTAAAATGAGGATAAAGTAAGAAAATATGGTTAATTGTGGGGCTGTTGTGAGGGTTAAATGATATAATGAACATATGCAAAACCTTAGCTCCATGCCTGGCACATGTCAAGCCTTCAACAAAGTGTAGTTATTTTTAATTATTTCATGATAGAAATATATGCATTATATTGTAAGTTCCTCAAGGATAGGATCTACATTATATTTCTCTTTCAAAGTCCAAGCCTCCACACATATTGAAGTGAATTAAATAAGAACCCCGTACTCTGGCCTACCGATCAAAAAATAGGATGAGCAAATCTGCCTAGGGATACAATGTAAGGGTTTCTATAAATGAAACAATAATGTCTTGCACATCACTCTCTCTTTCCACTATTCTATACTACTTTTATGGCACACTGGTTGCATAAGCTACACTGTAAATTAGAGCCTTAGTTGGAGACTTTATAGACACAGATTGACTAACTTGTTTGGAACTGAGATTTGAACCTGGGCAATCTATCTCCAGACACAGACTCTTAATCAAAATGTTTCCAATGATGTGGACCATTGAAATTTATGTAGCACATTTATTTACTTTTCCGTTCTTAAACATGTTTTTTCAATTTTTATTAATTTATTTTTGTTACAGATGTTTCTCCTTTCCCCCCCCCCAGACACCCTATGTAGCACTTTTTAAAGGGTTTAAACCCTTATGAAAGGTTGGGCAGACAAGTCATCACACCATTTTAGAAACAAAGCTGTTAGGCCACCAACAGAAACTGTCTTTCTTGATTACCATCCACAGAATATTCTGCCGGGAAAGACCCCTGTACTCTCCAGTCTGTAGGTCAGTTTCTTGCAGTGGGAATTTGAGCTTCAGGAGATTGCATCACTGCTGCCTCCTAGCCAAGAAATTCACTTTCCTCTGCAGCACAGAATGTACCAGAGAGTAACTTAGACAACAATGGCTGATTTATCTTTAAGACTTCAACATATTACAAGACATCATACCCTCAAACCACCACCTTCCACATTCCTCAAGTCATACCAGAGTTGATCCAATATGTTCCTGTCTGTTCTATGCCTCTAGCCAGCCTCCACCTGTCTAATTTTAGCCATTAAGTCTTTCTGGCCTAAGGCCACTGCTGATTGTGTGTTCTGTACAGTGAGTGCCTGGAACAGTGAAATGGTTCACAAATGTCACCACCGTTCAGAGACCACTGGATGGATATTAAGGTACAAGAGGCTAGGTGAACACACTGATTACATATTTTCTTCCTCTGATTTATCCATTGAAACAAAGGCCAATACTGATGAAGTTCAGTTACCAAAAGTTATTACAAAATTGTGGAAATGATCTAAATGTTCAAGAAAAGAAATTATGGAAATTCACAGGACAAATACTTTAGAATTATGTTGCAAAAGAATATTAAAAATGAAAATCAAAACCAGTGAGATACTACTTCATAACTATCAGGATATGGCTATATTAATACAAAAAAAAAAAAAGGAAACTAAGTGTTGGCAAGGACACAGAGAAAATGAACCCTCCTACATGTTGGTGGAAATGTAAGATGGTACAACACTTCTGCAGTTCCTCGATATGTTAAACATAGAGTTACCATATGACCCAGCAATTCTACTCCTAGGTATATATTCAAGAGAACTGAAAACATATGTTCACACAAAAACTTATACATGAAATTTTATAGCAGCACTACTCATTCATAAGAGCCAAAAAGTGGGAAAAACCTAAATGTCCATAAATTGATACGCGTATAAACAAAATGTGGCATAACCATACAATGGACTATTATTCAGCAATAAAAAGAATGAAGTACTAATATATGCTACAACATAGATGAACCTTATAAACATTATGCTAACTGAAAGAAGACAAACAAAAGGATAGGCACTGTTGATTCCATTCAGATGAAATGTCCAGAACAGGCAAACCTACAAAGACAGAATGTAGGTAGGTGGGAAGGCCAGGGGATGCAGGGAAGTGGGAACTGGACTGACTGCTCACAGCTACCGGATTTCTTTTTAGGTTGATAAGAATGGTCTATAATGAGACAGTGGTGAAATTAAGTACAACATGGTGAATCTACAAAAACCACTGAATTGTGCACCTTAAAATGGTGAATTTATTTATTTTTAATCCTCACCCGAGGACTTTTTTTTTTTTTCATTTCTTGTTCAGATAGAGTGGGAGGGAGGGAGAGGGAGAGAGAAACAGCAACGTGGAAGGGACACATAGAGTGGCTGCACCTGCACAATTCAACCAGGGCCGGGGACAAACTGCAACCAAGGTACATGCCCTTCGCAGGAACTGAACCCAGGTCTCTCTGGACCGCAGGCCGACACTCTAATCGCTGAGCCAAGCTGGCCAGGGCTAAAATGGTGAATTTTTATACATGAGTTATATCTCAAATCACACTATAGCCCGGCCCATGTGGCTCAGTGGGTTGAGCATCATCCTATGGACTGAGAGATTCAGGTTCCATTCCTGGTCAGGGCACATATTTGGGATGTGGGTTCAATCCCAGGCAGCTGATGGATGTTTCTCTCTCACATTGATGTTTCTATCTCTCTCTCTAAAAAATCAATTTAAAAAATCACACTACAGCCCTGGCCGGTTTGGCTCAGCGGTTAGAGCGTCAGCCTGCAGTCCAGAGAGATCCGGGTTCGGTTCCCACTAAGGGCACGTGCCTCAGGTGCAGTTTGCCCCCTTCACGTCGATGTTTCTCTCTCTCTCTCTCTCTCTCTCTCTCTCTCTCTCCCCATCTGAACAAAAAATGGAAAAATATCTTCGGGTGAGGATAAAAATAAAACCACACTACAGTACAGACAACAGAATACATAATGATTCTATAAACAATGGATCAGAATATTAAATTCAAAAATTGATAAAATTTTAAGAATTCAAGATATCTTAAGGAGGTACCTCAACTCAGTGGACAAATACTCAGCAGTGATTTGATAGCTAACAATGTGGGGGAAAATTAAGTGAGATGCCTGGCTCATATTTTACATAAAAATGTTACAAAATGTTTAAAGATTCAACTGTAAAAAAATAAAATAATAAAATTTCTATCAGAAAAAAAATAGTGCATGTGGGAAAATGGTCATTATATAGTAGTTTAGTAGAAAACATGTGACCAAATACTGCAGTGTCATCTTATTTGGAAAACAAATACATATTTTCAGACTATTTAACTACCTGGAAAGACATCTGTAGCACAGTATTAACTTAAAAAGGTAAAAAATATATTTTGTAAATTAAATACACACACACACACACACACACACACACACACACACACAGAAAAGATAACAAGACTACACCAACAGATTAAGAATCTTTCCCTCTGAGTAGAGAGATTGTGGATAATTTTTACTCTCCTCTTTTTGCTTAATTTTAATTTTTCAACTTTCTGTAATTAACATGTATCAAATGTGTAAAATGAAAAGATGAAGGCTACTTAAAAAACCTGATTTATCTATTCTGTCTGTTCTCGTTTGGGTTAGGAACCCACACAGATTCTTAAGTAATGTTATATCAAGAGTTCCTAGTCTAATGACCATGTACTTCCCACTCCCAATATTACCTGGAAGACATCCATTAGAATCATAGCTGACAGCAGCATGGTGACCATTTCAAAATGTCCTGTCTTCATTTTTCTCTTCTAAATTAAAATAAAAAAATTCCAATTTAGTAGACTTAAAAAAAGAGGCTTAGGGAAGGGGAGCACTGTATGCTATATATATTTTCATTCTGGGTGAAAGTGTGTATTCATGATGGTCAGAAAGAGATTACCATAAATTCCAATTGTTGGAAGGGCCTGGATGTTGCCTGTTGGTCTAACACCCTCATTCTACAGATGCAGAAACAAAAACTCAGAGAACTTCAGCAATTTGTTCCAAGATGAAATCTATTGCCTTGGCTGGTTTGACTCAGCGGTTAGAGCATCTGCCTGTGGACTGAAAAATCTTGGGTTCAATTCCTGGTCAAGGGCACGAAACCTCAGTCAGGTTCGATCCCCGGTCGTGGTTGGGGTCGTGCAGGAGGAAACCAATTGATGTGTCTCTCTCACATTGATGTTTCTCTCTCTCCCTCCCACTCTATCTTAAAAATAATGGAAAAAATTCCTTGGGTGAGGATTAAAGTAAATAAAGATTCACTCTATCCATTTACACTATTCTCCAGATATGTTGTCTCTCCCACCACAGTCACTGGTGCTCACATTTTCTTGCTACCAGTAAATCTCCCTTCAGCATACTCAGGCAATTAACACCAACTAAAACAAAACAAAAACAAAAACAAAAACATTTCAAAATTGGTCCCCTGCTCCCAGTTTCCAAGAACTCTCCAGGAGTTAGAGGCCATGTACTTTATCCACTCTTCTATCCTCTTTGGAAACCAAACCATGCCCATAGGATGAAGAAGATGAGGAAGCCAGTAATGATACAAAGCAGGTTATCCAAGGGGACCTCCTTCCCTCAAACAGTCACATTCAAGAGAAGCCCAAGGAGCTCTGGCTGGTGTTGCTCAGTAGTTAGAGCACTGGTCAAAGCACTGAAGGGTTGCAGGTTCAATTCCTGGCCCCAGTTGGGACGTGTGCAGGAGACAACCAATCCATCAATCTCTCTCTCTTTACCCCATCGCTCCCCGCTTCCATTCTCTACCCCCCACCACTCTCTCTAAAAATTAATGGAAAAAATATCCTGGGGTAAGGATTAACAAAAGAGAGAGAGTGGGGGTGGGGGGGGAGAAGCCAAAGGATAAAACAAATGCCTTGCATAACTTTCTGAAGGCGGGAATGAGAATAAGAAGGAACTGGATAGGCAGCAATTCCAATAAGATTATACAACCCTGCTGGATGAATGCCCAATATTCATCACAATGTTTATGAGACTGAAAGGGGTAAGTAGGAGGGCAAGAGGCCCTAAGGGCTAAAGCTGTCCCAGAGTCATTAAATGATTCATTAAAGGTGGTCCACAGTTCCTTCCACATACAACACAGTTAACATTACTGAAACTGAACTAAACTCTGCTTTACCATACCCATCCCCATACGCTGGCATCTGAGTATGAGAATGAAAGCACAGAGGAAAGGAGAGTCTTCCCTTTGGCCCTAGATTCCCACCTTTATTTAGGAGCCATTTGTTTCACTAAAGATATTAAAATAATAGTACCAAACATGCCACTTTTGTGTTCAACTTCCCTTTCCAAAAAAAAGATTTGGTCTATAAGACTTTGCAGATAACTGTCACAAAGTAGTATGTGCCAAGAAAGCTCAGAAACCAGGTTTGTTTGTTTTTCTTTCTTCACTTGTGCAGTCTGAGTGTAAATAAGTAAAAATGTTTATTTACCTGGCTTCTCTGCCTGTGGAGGAGATTTAAATGATGCTAGGTCTCAAACTGTTTCCCCACTCTCTCAGTTGTGGTGAGCGTGTCTTCAGAATGGGAGGTTGTTGACAGTGAGAGCTGAGAAGGGAATGCTTTTCTTTTTATAAACACCCCCAGCAGTAGCTTGGCAGTGACACATTACCCCATTTGTGTTCTGCTATTTATATCTGGCCCCCACACTATCCCTTGGAATCACTGCTGTTAACACATGAAATCTCCAAGAGGCTTGTAAAGCCACAGCAATTCCCTCTAACCACACAGCACGTTCAGTTCTGAGCCCTCAGCACTGGGCTTCTCTGAGAGTGATCACTTCCCACTCCTAACCCCTTGACTCTGGGATGTCAAACTAAAGCAAGACTTTACCCTAGCTAGATGGTTCACATAACTAAGGGGACTTGCTGTGTTAATCGCTGGCAATGATGATGGTTATCACCATTCACTCAACCAACTTACTGTATTTCAGGTACTGTACCAGATACTGGGATACACAAGCAAGTAAAGCAAAGTACTGAGAAGCATTCGCAAGCTAATGAAAGATATGAATATGTATACTTAACCAGAATACATGTTAAGAATCTTAAGTATGGACAAAGTCTAGTGACAGAACTGAGGAGGAAAGAATTTGGTAATACCCAAGCAAGGGACACACAGTAAATATATTGATTACATGCTGAAGAACAGTTAAGAGTTCATTGACTGGATAAAAAAACCACTGAGTGTCCTACGAAATTCATGCATATGTATATCAAAATACATTAATCAAATGTATTAAAGCCCTGGCTGGTTTGGGTCAGCGGTTAGAGCATCGGCCTGCGGTCCAGAGAGATCCAGGTTCAGTTCCCACTAAGGGCACGCACCTCGGTTATGGTTTGTCCCGGGCCTTGGTTGGGTCATGTGGTGGCAGCCACTCGATGTGTCCCTTTCACATCGATGTTTCTCTCTCTCTCTCTCTTTCTCCCTCCCACTCTATCTGAACAAAAAAATGGAAAAATGTCCTCGGGTGAGGATTTTTAAAAAAATGTATTAAATAGCATTATTCATAACCACCAAAAACTGTAATCCATCCAAATGCCTACCAATATTAGAATGGATAAATTGTGGTATATGATACAATGGGTTTTGTATAACGTTAAAAATGAATAACCTCTAACCACATAAACAAATGTGGATAAATCTCAGAAAAAAAATTATGAGTAAAAGACACACAAATGCATATACTGCATGATTTAATTTACACAGAGTACAAAATCAGGCAAAACACATTTATGGTATTAGATGTCCGGAGAGTGGTTATTCCAAGTGGGAGGCAGTAACTGGAAGAGAAGAGGCACAAGAGGAGCACCTGGGATGCTACTTAGGTTCTGTTTTGGGCTCTGGGTGTTGATTACATTGATATTCAGTTTGGGAAAATTCACCAGCCTATATACTTCCATGTATTTTCCTGTGTGTGTGTGTGTGTGTGTGTGTGTGTGTGTGTGTTTTACACAATATAACATTTTCAATTATCATGAAGTGTATCCATTTTTACAAGACCTATCTCATCTCTGCTCTCCAGACTCTTCAAAACTTCTAACCTCCTCCCACCTTGCTGGCTAAGCAATTTAAGATTAAATACACTAAATACAATCCTAGAAACAGTATCATTTTTTAAAATGCAGTTTGGTTAAGAAGGAAAACAGTGTGTGCACATGTGTTCAGGCCTACGCTCATGCTGACCTGCTTTTAAGTCCCAGGCATGTGTGCCCACAGGAAATGTGGTAGTAGGGTTTTCCTGTCTTTGACCCTCTCAAACCTAACAGATACAGCTATGTATCACACAAAACATGGAGTCCACCAAAAAGAACATAATAAACACTTCACTGCATGAAGTACAAAGCAAGTTTTGCCTGTTTATTCCCAATATGACTTTGCTCTATTCCTGTTTTCTTCCTGTTTTTATCTCTTGATAATACTCTTTCAACAAGTATTTGAGTCCTCACAATGTTCCCAGCACTGTCTTAGATACTGGGGGTATAACAGTGAACAAAATAAACATCTTGCCCTTGCCAAATTTATATTATCGTGGGAGGAATAAATAACAACTGAAATAAATAAGTAAATTATGTAAGTATGTTAAAATATAATAAGTACTTTTTTAAAAAGGGGGGGCAGGAATCAGTGGGGGTAAAAGGAGAAACATTTGTAACAAAAATAAATTAATTTTTAAAAAAAGGGTAGTACAAGGGAGATTTAGGAGTGCATAGAGAATTTGCGATTTAAATTGGGTGGTTAGGGAGAACTCACAGAAAAGGTGACATCTGAGCAAAGACTTGAAGGAAATGGGGGAGATCAGTTATGAATGAAGATTGTGGTAGAACAGTGGCCAAGCAGAGGGAATTCAAGCAGGTCAATACCACTGAAACAAACAGATAAGGGAAGAGTAGCAGGAGTAAGGTCAGGGAAGTAAGGGGGGTTGTAGGAAAGATCATGTCTTTGCAGGCCATTAAGAACACTGCATTTGCCCTGGCCGGTTTGGCTCAGCGGTTGGAGCGTCCACCTGCGGTCCGGAGAGACCCGGGCTAAGGGCACGCACCTCGGTTGCAGTTTATCCTTGACCCTGGTTGGTCGTGTGGGTGGCAGCCACTCGATGTGTCCCTTTCACATAGATGTTTCCCTCTCTCTCTCTTCCTCTCTCTCCCTCCCACTCTGTCTGTACAAAAAATGGAAAAATGTCTTCGGGTGAGGATAAAAAAAAAAAGAACGCTGCATTTTATTCTAAGAGAAAGGGAACAAATCACAAGATTTGAGCAGAGGTATGACAGGATCTGACTTACTTTTTTAAAAAGAACCATCCTGGTTGTTATGCTGAGAGTAATCTGAGGGTAAAAGTAGGAAGACCAGTTTTACAGGTTATTCTAACAATGCTAGCAGTGGCTCAAACAAGGATGGTAGCAGTAAAGGTGAGAAGATTGTGTGTGTGTGCTGTTATCTTTAGGTTGGTTAAGAATCCTCCTTTTGAAAATTAAATTAAGCATAATATCTTCAGATATGATAAGGAAAAGTATTTGCAGGTTCTAAAAAGCTATTTTCAAAAATGTAATGATTTATTAAAACTAAATGGAAATCATCTGTAACAACATCAATTTATTACACAATAAAAATGTTTGGACTTAGCCCTGGCCGGTTTGGCTCAGCGGTTAGAGCGTTGGCCTGCGGTCCAGAGAGACCCGGGTTCGGTTCCCGCTAAGGGCATGTACCTTGGTTGCAGTTTGTCCCTGGCCCTGGTTGGGTTGTGCGGG